TTGTGGTTGTTAGTTGGTTATCTTCATCACCTCCGTCTTATGTTTGTTCACTTGAGGTCCTGTCTTTACTGCCAGCTTCTTCTAGCAACTTGCTGGTTTCAGCTTATATTTATATATTCGAGTTTGTTGTGTGACATTTGAAATGAATCGTCCTCGAAGTCGAGATCTTCTAGAGTCTCTTTACCGGTCCAACTTTAAACGTTGTCATCATTTTATTCCATACAAACCGTTGTTTTTGCATTATTCAAACTACGGAATTATCCGAATAACTTTAATGGAGGCTATTGTTTTACTACACGTGGTTTTCAGCCAGATATGAGTGTGTCCTCCTAATGTATGTAGTAGTTTTCAGTTGAAGGAGACAGCTAAATATCTACGGTCGAACAAAAACATAGTGTCAGTCAATGAAACTGTTTGCTTTTGGCTTCAGTTGACTTAAGTTACAATTTGTTAGCGACTGGATGTCGTCCTCGTGACTTAGTGATCCACTGTAGTGAGTGCTACTTATAATTCGAAATAAGTAGTATGTCAGTAAACAAGTTCAGAAAAGCAATAATATGTTTCGGACCCTGGAAAAAGCAGTCGAACAACTGAAATGTGAGAAGTACACGTTAGAAACACTGTGCAGAATCCAAGAAGCTATCGAATGTGGTGGGTGATATTCGACCAATTTGCAAATGATGTGCAAATAAAGCATTGAAGATAAATGGTATACCAAATTTATGTAGTTACAATGAGTTTGTTCTGCTAAACGGTTCTTCGAGCCTCATTGGTATTTTCTTCCTTACACTACGAGCTCACTTTGTATTCTGAAGGTCCAGGGTTCGATCACTGGTGGTCGTCGGGTCACGGGTTTGTATTGTTACAGTATGTGAATCAAGAACAAAACAGCTAGTCAGTACACCATCTGGATTTCCAATGGTTCTATAACTAAAGTTATTTCATGACCAATCTTGAAATATTATTACGGATTCGTACAGCTTCTGATGATGACTTCACTGGTGAAACGGAATTTTCCCCATTTGAAGTAAAACAATCAAAGTAGCATTACTAATTCTCAACAATTTCATACAACGACACTCAAACACCACCGTCAAATCATAGCTAACACCCCCCGCCCCTGTGAACATACTACTGGATAAATTTTATCTGCTCCCGAATAAGTTAGGGAAAAATAGAAGACAAATCGCAACCACGCACAGAATCAATAGCCTGTCAAAGAAATGAAGCAAGGCTTCTTATAAAGAGACGATGAGAACGATGAAGCTAGCGAATGTTTCAGTTCCAAGCTCGAGGAAGAATAGCACTGCACTGACGATTGGTCTTCTACAGTCCACCATGATAGTCAGTGAGTGAATAACAATTTAAACTGTACAAATACTAATCATCCGTTAGTCAGATAAACGACCAATGTGAACCCCCTTATTTTCAATAGATGCCCACTACTAAGAATATGTCGTTGTACAATTAGTTTCAGAGATAATATTTTGATTACTGTTATAATTATTTTAATGATATTACTGTCTCTCACTTTCTCTGTTGGAATACACGTTCGCATACCATTTGTATGATTCCTCTAATATATTACTTTGGGCACGTTAAATCTACTCGGAAATTCTAAAATCTCATGCGATGTTCGTGTCTACTTACTATATCACGAATATCTTTGAGTTCTTCTTTGTTGATCCCCTTGATAAATTCCGATAAAGAAAGAAAAATCAGATTCTCGGTATAAAATGCGATACCATTCCATTTCACAGGTTCTCATCAGCTGCACACCACTACCTCAAATTACAATGGTTTATAAACAAGAACAGTAATAAATACTTCAATGTTTGTGAATGGTAGGAGATAAAGCATTTTTAAAAATAACTAATTCGAAATATAGTGAAACTATTCATTCAGACATCTCTAAAACACAAAGTAATTTAGCAAAGAATATCCTTTACGATAATTGCCTCTTCTGGCTCTACAATTATATATATGTTTATATACATAGAATATTCTAGAACAGTAGTCAATAACAATATTAGTGTTTTTTTAAATAATATCGATTTGTAAAGTAAGATCACAGTGGAATTACAGTTCATTAAAGATGCTTAAATAATAATAATAAAGATATAGTAGCAAATAGAATATCAACTAAAATTAGGGGAATTTCCACAAAAAATTGAGGATCATTCGAACCTAGATGGCCAAGGTAAGAATAATGTCTGAACTAGCTTCTTTTGGACACATAAATTAGGCTTCTTAATGTGGATCCCAACGGTCTCAGCAATATTTAGTAAACGAACTCTTAAGGCGAAGTTAAGATTTGTTGGTATGCGGCAAATGACTTTGAAAGCTGCCTCGTTAACATCAATTTTGTGTTCTGTATCCACGAGATGAGATAGAATAGCGCTACGAATAGATTTTGTTTTTCCTTTACTTAACCACGATGCAGGGTGATGTTTGGAAATCCGACGAGCAACACGCCTAATTGTACGGCCTATGCATTGCAATTGACTTTAGTTTAAGTTACCATCAATTTGAATGCTTTCAAACTATGAAGAAAAGAGGGGTGGTGAGAGAAGACAGAAAACAGAAAAATCTAATCACCAGTGTTAGCATGTAGGTTTACATTAGCGACTCAAGAAAGTTATAGTTCTTAAAATTGAAAATAATGCTGACTGAGTTGAAATCCCTAACGTAGATGACCAATCACTGTCGTCAAAATTCGCTTACCAAGGGAGTGAGAGAGAGAGAGATTGATTACACTCACTTTCTGTTTTGAAATGCATGATTGCAATCGCCTCAGTAAATCATAGTAAATTTGTTGTCTTTTGTAGGTTTAGTATTTTGAAGCATTTAG